TTAACTAAGCAGCTATTATTTCACCAAGCATATATTATTTTTACTTAGAATTTATTTTTTAACTGAACATTTATTATATAACTTAGCATTTATCATTTTTACCGAGCAAAAATACAGAGCGTTTAAATATAGAACTGTGCATTTAATTTGTTCCTGTATCTAAATAACAAGAAAACGGTACTAATAATACATTTAGGTGAATAAAGTAATAGACGGGCTTGATAAGCCAGGTAGATTTTAAGAAGAATTGCTGGTTGCGTTTAAGGCAACAAATGGGGCCCAATTCAAACTTGTCTCTCGTCTAGCGTTTCCCCTTAAGTGGGTCTCTTTCATCCAACAAAACCCTTCTTAACCCAACCCGCACAGACAGATTCGAACAGCGACGCAAAACACCTGCGTTTATTCACTTCATTTGCATAACAAACCGTATAAGGTTCCTATGCGGTGCATTGTGTCGCCCAAAAAAAGCAAAAACGGCGCTTTTATGCACCGACTAGGAGAGCCGAAGCCGTCTGGCGTGATGTCGACGCTTAATCGATGCACCGGATATCCGTATATTTAGTACCAGGAATCCAAATCATATGGATATTGTTGGTTATTCGGATACATTGTGTGATTTGTAGCCATAAATTCGACCAGTATTCGAGAATAAATTCCAATTTAGAGCAAATTGCTCTAACCATGTGTATATTGGTCCTGATGCTTTTGCAAAAACGTCAAGAGTAGTATTGATTTCGCGTTTGCTTTAAATCTTGTTTCAAATATCAAAGCAACGATAATTCCAAAAGGCGTAATTTAGAACAGATGGTGCCAACCTAGCGTTTTCTTGTCAAGATTTATGGCTGAGTAAAATTTCAGTTGCGACCCTTCGCTCCACCGAAGATATAATTCATCCTCAAACGATCATTTTAAAACTGCTCCGCTTCAAATACTACTACTAAATTAAAACAATTGGTCGAAAGTTCAAGTACAATGAAATATCCCTTCCGTCTAGATTCCAATGTTTATCAATATAAAACCCTTTTTTTGTTCGATAAAATTTTTATAAACAGATTCGGTCACACGACAAAATAAAATTACATTTCCATCTGTAGGTAAGCGAAGAAAAATGTTTGCTGCTCCGGTGGGAATCGAACCACACATCTCCCACTTGCCGGGCAGGTGCCTTGACCACTAGGCTCCAGAGCGGCTTATCTTTACTTTGCTTACCTAGCTATTATTGTGCCGCCTCACATCTAATCAAAGAAGCCAATGAACTTCAAAACTGAAGGTTGCTGGGGTTAGTTTTAGGTTTTTGTTTAGATTCCACTGTTGTGTTATTCAATATAAAATGCACCTTTCGTCCAATAAAATGAGTGACCGGGTGCCATTTTGAAGTTTTGAAGCCTAATTCACCACTTGACCTAGTAAAATTCAGTCTTCATCTAATCAAAAAAAAAACTAATGAAATTCAAAAGCGGTGGTGGGTGGGATTAGTTTTACGTTTTTTGTCTAGATTTCGTTGTTTGTCACTATAAAATCCCTATTTTGTCCAATAGAATGAGTGATCAGAAGAAAAGCCGGGTGGGTGGGCGGGGCCACTGTGAACTTTTAGAAGTAGATTAGGCCGCTCGACAAAATAAAATAAAGTTTCCATCTAATCAGATAAGCCAATGAAATTCAAAAGCAGAGGTGGGTGGGGTTAGATTTAGTTTTTTGTCTAAATTACTAAATTCCAGTGATATTCAATATAAAATGTATTTTTCGTCCAATAAAATGAGTGACCAAAAAGAAAACCGGCTGGGTGGGCGGGGCCACTTTGTATTTTTAAGCCTTATTCGCCACTTGACCTAGTAAAATTCAGTCTTCGTCTAATAAAAAAAAAAGTACTGAAATTCAAAAGCGGTGGTGGGTGGGATTAGTTTTACGTTTTTTGTCTAGATTTCGTTGTTTGTCACTATAAAATTCCTCTTTTGTCCAATAGAATGAGTGATCAGAAGAAAAGCCGGGTGGGTGGGCGGGGCCACTGTGAACTTTTAGAAATAGATTAGGCCGCTCGACAAACTAAAATAAAATTTTCATCTAATCAGATAAGCCAATGAAATTCAAAAGCAGAGGTGGGTGGGGTTAGATTTAGTTTTTTGTCTAAATTACTAAATTCCAGTGATATTCAATATAAAATGCATTTTTCGTCCAATAAAATGAGTGACCAAAAAGAAAACCGGGTGGGTGGGCGGGGCCACTTTGTATTTTTAAGCCTTATTCGCCACTTGACCTAGTAAAATTCAGTCTTCGTCTAATAAAAAAAAAGTACTGAAATTCAAAAGCGGTGGTGGGTGGGATTAGTTTTACGTTTTTTGTCTAGATTTCGTTGTTTGTCACTATAAAATTCCTATTTTGTCCAATAGTGATCAGAAGAAAAGCTGGGTGGGTGGGCGGGGCCACTTTGAACTTTTAAAAGTAGATTAGGCCGCTAGACAAAAAAAAATAAAATTTCCATCTAATCAGATAAGCCAATGAAATTCAAAAGCAGAGGTGGGTGGGGTTAGATTTAGTTTTTTGTCTAGATTACTAAATTCCAGTGATATTCAATATAAAATGCATTTTTCGTCCAATAAAATGAGTGACCAAAAAGAAAACCGGGTGGGTGGGCGGGGCCACTTTTTATTTTTAAGCCTTATTCGCCACTTGACCTAGTAAAATTCAGTCTTCATCTAATCAAAAAAAACTAATGAAATTCAAAAGCGGTGGTGGGTGGGATTAGTTTTACGTTTTTTGTCTAGATTTCGTTGTTTGTCACTATAAAATTCCCCTTTTGTCCAATAGAATGAATGATCAGAAGAAAAGCTGGGTGGATGGGCGGGGCCACTTTGAACTTTTAAAAGTAGATTAGGCCGCTCGACAAAATAAAATAAAATTTCCATCTAATCAGATAAGCCAATGAAATTCAAAAGCAGAGGTGGGTGGGGTTAGATTTAGTTTTTTGTCTAGATTACTAAATTCCAGTGATATTCAATATAAAATGCATTTTTCGTCCAATAAAATGAGTGACCAAAAAAAAAACTGGGTGGGTGGGCGGGGCCACTTTGTATTTTTAAGCCTTATTCGCCACTTGACCTAGTAAAATTCAGTCTTCGTCTAATAAAAAAAAAGTACTGAAATTCAAAAGCGGTGGTGGGTGGGATTAGTTTTACGTTTTTTGTCTAGATTTCGTTGTTTGTCACTATAAAATTCCTATTTTGTCCAATAGAATGAGTGATCAGAAGAAAAGCTGGGTGGGTGGGCGGGGCCACTTTGAACTTTTAAAAGTAGATTAGGCCGCTGGACAAAATAAAATAATCCAAAGTGGAAGTGGGTGGGGTTAATTTTAGTTTTTGTCTAGGTTACTAGATTGCACTGCTATTCAATATAAAATGCACTTTTCGTCCAATTTTGGATTTTTATAAGCATAAATTGGACTACTTCACAAAACGTAATTCAATTTTCATCTCATCCTAAACAAAATCATTATAATTTTACTTTTTGCTTATTTTTTAATTGCTTGTCAATATAAAATCCACAAGCAATAAAATGAGTGATAAATTTCATTAACTAAAGACGAATTTCATCTTGGCAAACATGATATTCTGTAGCAGACATGTGAAATTATTCTACATAATATATACTTAATAACTTAAAAACGTCTGCAAGATTTCAAAGTATTCTGTTTTCCAATTTTTGATTTATTCAATAAAATAAATTGGGTGATTCATTAATTTGTCTGAGTGAGCCTGTATAAGCAAATCTAAAAAATTAAGTTCTTAATTTAATCAATAAAAAATTGGTCGCAGCTTATAAGTATAATTCGAAAAATCCAGCTCATTTGCCAAAATTAGACTTACCTTACCAGCTACCAGCCCCGCCCACCCACCCTCTCTCTCTTAGAATTTGAACGTTATCGAAAAAACTGAAAGCGGACTCATACACTACAAGTATACGAGTTTATTTTTGTGTAACATTCAACTCATTTTAGAATACCATTCACTGAAATGACGTCATCAAATTATTGGTGGGGATGATTACCCAAATTTCGGTTAACATTTAACCATAAAAATTAAACGTAGCATAAATCGGGCCACTTCGACACTAAAAAACATTTTATGGCAATTAGCGCAAAATAATGCAAATCTCGCCTCAATTTCCCCTTTGCTGATCGATCACCCGACAAATCGCCCGGTAAATACCCCCATTAAACCCGCATTTTCCCATTTTTGGCGAACTGTTAGTTCGAAACGTATCTCGCAAATTGCGCAAACAAAATATTCGGATTAAAATCCAAATCGGATTTGCTTTAACGCGGCAGATGTTTGAAATCGCCCACATAAAAAGCTTTGCCGGGAAGGACTGCTGAAATTTCCAGTTTGCAAATTTCCGCGCGTATTCCCGATGCTCGCCGGGAATCGTTAAAATTATTTATTTATCCCTCGGGAGGACAAATTATGATTACGCAGCTTGTTCGAAGTTCGCTTTCCGCGGTGCTAGTTGGAAATTAAGCCGGAGTTTCAGCGGTCTCCAAACAAAAGCCGAAGTTTGTTGATTTCCTGGCAGAAAATCTCGAAATGTTTAGACTATGGGTAATTCCATTATAAATAATAATTGATGTGGCAAACAAGGATTTAGAGCAACCCACAATTCGTCTAGGTGGTTTGAGGACCTCTGGTCTATGCCCGTTATTTGGGTTGCATAATACATGGCGCCGACCACCCGTCATTCGTATAAATCGGTTATCCCAACCCTTGGCATTTATGCTGTGGGTGTTGTGGGAAAATTTATCATCCTCATGAGGTTTATTACTAAACTGTCATTGTTTGACACACAATATTTCATACTCCGCTACACCAGAAAAATCCCCATAATGTACACGTTCGAGCCACTACCAATATAAATACACCCGGAACAAAATCCCCCACTCTCGCGATTGATTCACCGCGCGACGTAGACAACCAACAAAACACCGCATTGGTGTATTCAGAGTCACCTACCTGTTAGGCGTCATTTCGCCCAGTTGGTTCTGCTGCTGGATTTGCTGCGCTCGCTGTTTTGCGGCCTGTTTGTGTCGTGATAAGGCGAAGAAGAGCGCTAGAATGGCCTTCAGCTTACCATCGCGTAGTTCTTGAGCCGAGACTCCTTCCAGACCGGAAACATGCTGTGCTTTCAGGACGCCCAAACAGAGGTTGATGTTGTCGAGCTGGAAAAAAACGCGTGTTTATTTTTTTGCCGAAATCGAGCGATTCCATTAATGTTACAGTCACGATGTGAAAATTGAGACGGATTATTTTTATTGTGCGCGATGTCGGGCTTGATTGACGTTAATGCGTGCAAGCTGTTCATTATATGTTCTGGGAAAAATGCGGGATGAATATGGAGTTATGGAAATGGGCACCGGCGCATCCGCCAATTTTTGAATCGAGAAAGTTTAAAAATATTTTTTCTAGTGAATGACTTACTCTAGAGTTACTAAATTAACTTGTTGCCGCACGACACCAACTCACAATCACTCTGTGTGCTCGGTATAAGTATTATCTTCAAGGATCGATACAGTAAACATGCATTTAATATTTTCACTGCCTGATTGCCCATTATCAGCGCAACTTAATCAATACCGCAATATAATTACTAATCCAAAAAGCTCCCGTCATATTTATTTAGTTTCCACGTTTCAACATGTCCACGAACCAAAACCCACTTAAAACCCAAGCCGTAAATCGCAATAAGGAGCAAAAGAGCTTGTCACAGTAGTTCGTACGTCAGACAACCAATCTAAATAAACTACAACAACAACCGTTTGTGTTTAGGTGTGTCGACGTACTTTTCAGCAATCGCCTGAAATTTATGTGAGTTGCAGCTGTTGCTAAAATCGACCCAACACCTATTAGAAACGAAACAATTTAAACTCATTGAGCTTGATCGAGTCATGCGATGTGGATATGATTGCATTTATTTGTGTTTAGTCTTATCTAAATCTGAAAGTTTATTTATAGAAGCCATAAAAGCGATGAATGAAAAGCATGGATTTTTTAGTAGTGGAAGTAGCCTTGAAGAGTTATGAATGAGACACTGTGCACTATTTCTCCCCGCCAAAAAACCGATGACGTCATTTCAAAAAATCGTTTCGTCTGCGATGTAAACGATTTTTTGTCTAGACGTTTCACCGCTGCAGAAACTCGAGACCAAAGTCATGCAATGCGAGTACAAAAAAATGGCCTGTTGCGGATCGTTTTACACTTCGTCTACCAACTGCCACCCAACGAAATTACCATGTTATTACAATTAGATACCATGCACTTGCGACTCCATTCCGCGGTTTATTACTCTTTTAATAACGTTAATATTTTCAAGTTTTTTCACGTTGGATCCTTAATCATCGCTTCCCGCTTTATTAACCCATCAATTTCCTCTTCTCTTTTTTCGCGCCGGTTCGCCGTGTATTTCAATTCGGCCATTTATAATTTTTCAACGCTGATCCTCTGCTGGAACTCTACATAGGCGGAGGAAAGTGAAATATATGGTGTGCATTAAATTGCATTTGTCCGGGAAAAAGCGGGTTGATGAATGTGCTGGCGGCGGAGACGGAAAAAAATCACTAGCCGTTTCTGGCGACAAGGTCAAGGGTTTTATATAAGTTTTTTTATAATTTTTACTTTCTGAGCTTAAGCTATGCTCCCGTTTCCGTCTGTCTGTCTGGACCGATTGTTGTCAGATTTTGTATAAAATAACACAATCTTGCACTTGTGGTGTGTGAATCCGTGTCGAATTTTCACTCTAGCATCCAGAATTTTTGGAAAAAATTCAAAGACAATATTTTGCAATATAACTTTGAAACTGCAAAGCCGAATGCTCTAAAATTTTGTAAATATTTTAAACATATCGTGATCACGGTAAATCCGTTAACTAAAATTTATTCATTGATCCCGTCCCAAAAAATTGGTCTAAAGAGTTTAGACAGTACTTCCCTCGCTGTCGGAAACTTGACGACTGCATGCCTATTGTGTTTTTTTCTCATTACATTTTTGTAGTGGGAATTTAAAAAAAAATTGCGATGACGTCATCAACATTTTTGCAAGGACACGTATATCAGTTGGGATAGATGTAGTGTAATACTAAGAATAAAATTATTATATTCTCAAATTTTCGGGAAAATGAATTGGGTCGTTTTGAATATTGATTTGTAATAATCAATAAAATAACGAAACAATTTACTCACGTATACGTATCAGAGGCAACTGAAAATCGTGTATGTATAAACATTCTTAATTTAAGACGACAGGCGTAACAGCATACGTGAGAGTCAAACAGAGAAACTGTAAACAAAACGACCATCGGTTTTATTGCTTCGACTTCCGCTTATTATATAAAACATTGGGTTTTATTTTAATTCTTGACGGTGAAATTCACAATTGGTTGATTATAAACATGTCTATTTCACATTCGTGGAACCAAGTGAACGCATAAAACAAATGCAGGTCTGTAATGTTAAAGTCGATGTAAATAAGCGTGCTACCCTTATGTTTCAACCGAGTTTTTCCTTTAACAAATTTTGTGTCTACCAAATTGGGTTGGTTGGGGTGTAATACTAATAATAAGTGTTGCCTTTAATTTAATCAATAAAATAAATTCACTTCATTAATTTTTTTGAACCACCTCTTAAGAAAATCTAAAAAATATGAATGGAATGATAAATCACAAGTACAAACTCATCATATTTTTTGCATTTCAGATAGGATTTATTCAGCAAAATTTAAGGGTGACGTCATCAATTTTTTTAGGAGGGATGAACAAATACATTTTGAACAAAAGTTTACCATGCTTATAATAACTTTAAAACATTCCCAAGATTTCAAAGCATTCGGTTTTGTAATTCCTGATTAAATCGATAAAATAAATTCACGCCTTCATTAATTTTTTTGAGTCACCCTGCATATGCAAATCGAAAAATATGATTGGAATGATAAATCACAAGTACAGACTCATCATATTTTGTACATTTTAGATACGATTTATTCGGCAAACTTTTGAGCTGACGTCATCAGTTTTTTGTAGAAGATAACCAAATATATTTTGACTAAAAATTTATTATGCTCTTTATAACCTTAAAACATCTGCAAGATTTCAAAGCATTCGGTTTTGTAGTTCCTGATTAAATCAATAAAATAAATTTACGCATTCATTAATTTTTTTGAGTCACCCTGTATATGCAAATCGAAAAAATTTGAATGGAATGATAAATCACAAGAAGAGACTCACCATATTTTGTACATTTTAGATAGGATTTTTTCAGCAAAATTTTGTGGTGACGTCATAAATTTTTTAGGGGGGACGACCAAATACGTTTTGATCAAAAATTTACCATGCTTATGATAATTTTAAAATATCTTCAAGATTTCGAAGCATTCGGTTTTGTAGTTCCTGAGTAAATCAGTAAAATAAATTTACGCTTTCATTTATTTTCTTGAATCACCCTGTATATGCAAATCCAAAAAATATGAATGGAGTGATAGATCACAAGTACAGGCTGATCATATTTTGTACATTTTAGATATGATTTATTCGGCAAATTTTCGAGCTGACGTCATCAAGTTTTTGGAGGGGATAAGCAAATATATTTTGACTAAACATTTATTATGCTCTTTATAACCTTAAAACATCTGCAAGATGTCAGAGCATTCCGTTTTGTAGTTCCTGATTAAATCAATAAAATATATTTACGCATTCATTAATTTTTTTGAGTCACTCTGTATATGCAAATTCAAAAAATATGAATGGAGTGATAAATGACAAGTACAGGCTCATCATATTTTGTACATTTTAGATATGATTTATTCGGCAAACTTTCGAGCTGACGTCATCAAGTTTTTGGAGGGGATAAGCAAATATATTTTGACTAAACATTTATTATGCTCTTTATGACCTTAAAACATCTGCAAGATTTCAGAGCATTCGGTTTTGTAGTTCCTGATTAAATCAATAAAATATATTTACGCATTCATTAATTTTTTTGAGTCACCCTGTATATGCAAATCCAAAAAATATGAATGGAGTGATAGATCACAAGTACAGACTCATCATATTTTGTACATTTTAGATATGATTTATTCCACAAACTTTTGAGCTGACGTCATCAAGTTTTTGGAGGGGATAAGCAAATATTTTTTGACTAAAGATTTATGATGCTCTTTATAGCCTTAAAACATCTGCAACATTTCAAAGCATTCTGGTTAGTAGATTAAAAATTAAATTTCAAAATGTTGTTTTATAATTTTGATTTTTTTTCCAAAAATCTGGACGTTTCGGGTGAAAAGTCGATTCAGAGTTGTAAACTACATGTGTAGGACTATGTTATTTTATACAATTGAAAACCCATTTACTATGTACAATTTTGAAGTGACGTCATCGCATTAGTGGTGGGGATGATTAGACAAATCTTGGTTAGCGTTTTACCATCTACATGATATTCTTAATATAAGTACAAAATTTCACAACAATCGGTCGAGTACTTTCGGAGATTATCTGTCTAATAAAAATCCGGGACAACAGACGGACAGACGGACAGACGGACGGACAGACGGACGGACAGACGGACGGACAGACGGACAGACAGACGGAAATGGGAGACCTATTTCTTCGTCTTCTAGGGGTCATGAAAGATCGAGAAAACGTAAAAGTAGAGAGTCGGCCGACGGACTCGATTACAATACTTCCTTTGCTTACGCTCGGGAAGTAAAAATTGATGACGTCATCTCAAAATATTCTAAAATGTGCAAAATATGATGAGTCTCTACTTATGATTTATCACTGCATTAAATTTTTAATTTGCTTATACAAAGTGACTCATAAAAATTAATGAATGAGTCAATCTGCAAGAATCATCATCTTCAGTTAATTTTCGAGGGTGGTTGAAAAATTACTAAAAATTTGCATTGAAAAATTGAGTTTTCGGAAAAGTTGCTAGAAAAGAAACAAAAAATTGCAAAGTAATTCGAAAAATATAAAGGTTTTGGTTTTCCAGAGCCAAACTTTCAAAAATCCTTGGCCGCCTTTGATCATGTTTTTTATTACCCTGTCGGTATATTTGAAAATAACTGTACATTATATGACTAATAGGTGTATTAGACTGAGGGAAGCAATTTTTTCAGTAAATCGCGGTAAATACATGAGATTTTTGAGACACTCTGTAGATATAGCTACGAC